ATTTCAGAATGTTTCACATTAAGGTTGCTCTACCTGATAGTTCTGAAGCTGCTTGGTCATTTCGTCCATGTGTCGATCATACTCTGCTATAAGAGGAGCCATTATCCTAAAACACAGAGTAATAATTACAAAAAATTATACGATAAAACGCAATTGCTTTTTGTCACCCATAAGAATTTGCAGTGATAATGGAACAGTTCTAAAGGTTGTAAAATAAGGAAAATGAAAATGAACTTTTTCCGACCCTTTGTCTGAAAGCCAGGGAGGAAGAGACTCTGCTTGCTGCTCTTCATCCAGCTAAGAAAAAAACAAAAAACATCCAGCAGCACAGATCAGCAATATTTTCTTCAATATAATTTCAGAAGAGTAGTCAAAATTCGAAATAGATAAAAGATAAAAAGAAATTTAGAAGGTCAAGAACATGTACTATACAGTGTAGCACACTGTAAAGTTTGGTCTCTGTTCACAGACATTACGTGCAAGATGTAATCGCTTCCACATATATTCTGCATATGAAAATAAAAAGTATCAAATTAGTTTATCTCCAAAGGTTAAAAAAAAGCCAGAAGAATGGATTGTTACGTAAAAGGAAAAAAACAGCAAGCTTTGATCATTACCGCTGTACCAAAACATTTTTGTATAAATAGGAACTTATGCATTTCAATTTTTTTGACGAATAACAATAAATGAATCAACAAAATACACACAAAAGATACTAGTTAACATCAATGAAACCAAACACCAATTTTCAAACTAACTAGATTCACCTGAACATAAACAGATAAACAGAAACAAAACCCTCCACTTAATAAACCGGTCAGTATATACAGCCAGAATTATTACATTGATTAATGGAAATTGTCTGAAAAGGGGTATGAAGAATTAAAACTTATTTTTCATACCCCCTCTCCCTCTGATTGGACTTATTTTAACTTAAAGATGAGTAACCTTCCTGTTAAACTTGTTTTTGTCCAATATTAACACACAATAAAGTAAATAAAAAATATATATACATATACACACACAAATATATACATTTTAGGGGTGGAACGGTTCATAAAAGCCACGGTTCAGTTCGGTTCACAGTTTCGTGGTCACGCTTTTCGGTTCGGTATATGTTGATTGTTAGGAAAATCTATCTACAAAACGTGTTGCACAATGCTTGCACACTGTTGCACTTTTATCCACATCTTTCTTTCCGCTGTCATCGTAGGTCACTCTAAATGCAAAGTGGTCCCATACAGTAGACCTATAAAGTGCTGCTGGCGCGTCTTCCAACTCCTGTTCTTTCCCACTCACCATACCCACACAATTCTCCAACACAACTGATTTTTTTCTGCTACACCCGGCTACGCTGCTTTGCGGCTTTGCTTCTTCTTCTTGTTTACTACTGGTGGTTGGCTTTGGTCTCAGTACCGCCACCTTCTGCTCTGGAGTGTACATGCTTCGCCTATGAGAAAATTGAGCAGCGCATGAACCGAACGAAACACATGTGAACGGTTTGGTTCGGACGGTTTTCATAAACCGTTCCATCCCTAATACATTTATATACACACATATACAGTACAGACCAAAAGTTTGGACACAACTCAATCAAATAGTTTTCTTTATTTTCATGACTATGATAATTGTAGATTCACACTGAAGGAATCAAAACTATGAATTAACACATGTGGAATTATATACTAAACAAAAAATGTGAATAAACTGAAAATATGTCTTATATTCTAGGTTTTTCAAAGTAGCCACCTTTTGCGTTGATTACTGCTTTGCACACACTTAAGATTATCTTAATGAGCTTCAAGAGGTAGTCACCTGAAATGGTTTTCCCTTCACAGGCGTCCTCTGTCAGGTTTAATACGTGGGATTTCTTGCCTTATAAATGGGGTTGGGACATTCAGTTGGGTTGTGCAGAAGTCAGGTGGATAAACAGCTGATAGTCCTACTGAATAGACTGTTAGAATTTGTATTATGGCAAGAAAAAAGCAGCTAAGTAAAGAAAAATGAATGGCCATCATTACTTTAGGAAATGAAGGTCAGTCATTCTGAAAAATTGGCAAAACTTTGACAGTTTCCCCAAGTGCACTCGCAAAAACCATTAAGCTCTACAAAGAAACTGGCTCACATGAGGACCGCCCCAGGAAAGGAAGTCCATGAGTCACCTCTGCTGCGGATGATAAGTTCATCTGAGTCACCAGCCTCAGAAATTGCAGGTTAACAGCAGCTCAGATTTGAGACCAGGTCAATGCCACGCAGAGTTCTAGCAGCAGAGTCATCTCTAGAACAACTGCTAAGAGGAGAATGAATCAGGCCTTCATGTTAGAATAGCTGCTAGGAAACCACTGCTAAGGACAGGAAACAGCAGAAGAGACTGTCTTGGGCTAAAGAATTCAAGGAATGGACATTAGACCAGTGGAAATCTGTGCTTTGGTCTGATGAGTCCAAATGTTAGATTTCTTTGGTTCCAACAATCGTGTCTTTGTGCGACGCATAAAAGGTGAACGGATGGACGTTACATGCCTAGTTCCTATCGTGAAGCATGGAGGAGGAGGTGTGATGGTGTGGGGGTGCTTTGCTGGTGACACTGTTGGGGATTTATTCAAAATTAAAGGCATACTGAACCAGCATGGCTACCACAGAATCTTGCAGCGGCATGCTATTCCATTTGGCTTGCGTTTAGTTGGACCATTATTATTTTTCAACAGGACAAAACGAAACACACCTCCAGACTGTGTAAGGGCTATTTGAACGAGAAAGAGAGTAATAGGGTGCTGCGCCAGATGACCTGGCCTCCACAATCACAGGACCTGAACCCAACCGAGATGGTTTGGGGTGAGCTGGACCGCAAAGTGAAGACAAAAGGGCCAGCAAGTGCCGAGCATCTCCGGGAACTCCCTGGGAACTCCTTCAAAACTGTTCAAGATCATTTCAGGTGACTACCTCTTGAAGCTCAGCAAGAGAATGCCAAGGGTGTGCGAAACTGTGATCAAAGCAAAAGGTGGCTACTTTGAAGAACCAAGAATATAAGACATATTTTCAGCTGTTTCACACTTTTTTGTTAAGTATATAAATTCCACATGTTAATTCATAAATGTTATGCCTTCAGTGTGAATCTTCTATTTTCTAGCCATGAAAATAAAGAAAACTGAATGAGAAAATGAGAAGGCCTGCAATCATTAAAATCTGGTTGTAACACGTTCTAACTCAGACGAGCTGAGTACAAATGCATACTTTTTCCCATCACAAAGTGAAAAAATCGGAAATAGTATAAACAATGTGAACAATTCTGCAAGGCAGTGCATCTAAATATAGACAGAGTTAGTTTGCCAAGTTCTGATTAACAATCAGTAACAGAGTCATATTTTGTACTTTATTCTTTACTTATCTGTTATTCTGTTTTCTGTAACATTGATTTTATGTACAGCAATGGTTACTTGTTGTCTTCTAAAGGGCTATACAAATAAAAGTTGAATTGAGTTGATTAAAAGCAGACACACAATTAAAAATAAAAAAGGTATAGTTAATACATAGAGGTACATTACACATTTATGATGTTATTAATTTGATATGTAAATAAGCTTATTACCAGAGAAGATGTGCCCCCCTGCTGATACCGACAGAGAGCAGAATTCAACCTGTGGACTGCAGTCAAGACAACATTAACCCTTTATCTGGCACTCATTGACCTTACACTGCAAAAATAATCTAGAAATAAATAAAACTGTCCTAAATTAAGTGTATTTACCCTTAATTTGAGTAGGTTAATAAGATGACTTGCCAAATCAATTAGATTTTTACTCTGAAAATAAGATAATTACTTGAAATAAGACAAAGCAACAGTTTTTTTTTCTTCTCATTTTAAATGTAAATGATCTTGTTCCATTGGCAAAGTGTCTATCTTTCCTCCTCAATTCAAGAGAAAATGCACTTATTTAAAAAAAAAAAAACTTATTTATTAAATAAAAAGTTTTTTTGCAGTGTATTACTTTTATAACATTCAAAAAATATGGATATTTTGATTGATTAATGTCAATGTAATAACAAGAAATGCCAACTTGACCGAATATATAAAGAAAAATAACAAAAGTGCTTCTATAAAAAAAAAAAAATAATAATAATAATAAAAAACACTCAGAGTGAAAGAAACACATTTTATTTGGTCCAACATAAACTAAGAGGTATTAATGCTGATACTGGTACTTACATTTTTTAGTTTATACACATATATATAAAAATGTTCACTAGGCTTATTAACTTTACTGTTTAACGTTTCAATTAGCTTTTTACCTTTTTTCTTGGTTTAACTTTTTTCAACTTAATTTAAAGTAGGTAATACATCATTCAAGGGCTCATCTAATTGGTCAAATACCACAATAAGATGTACAGCCATGTAGGAGTATATTTGCTGAATGACTGGATATAGATCTTGTGCTTCTAGTCCTCTTAAGTTCCTGTTTACTTCAACATAATGTCTAGCGTTCAGTGATCGGAAGGTACAACATTTTGAGAAAAATAGTAATCAAAATAAACAAAATCGTGTTGATTCCTCCGCCTGCGCTTACCTTGATCTCTCAAAAATTCCAGCTCTGCATCCATAATGACTGTTAATAAAAGTAAATACAGTTGTCATGCATTACTTTTCCATCCCAAATAGCCAGTTCATGCATGTTAAATTCCCAAGCAAAAGTAAAAAGCTATTTAAACCGCTAAGAGCTACTTTAGGTTGCTACTTCTAGAAATCAGTGCAGCTAAATAAAGCACTAAAGCAACAGCTAAAACAAGCGATTTGATTGCTAAACAAACTACTGCGGATGTAACCATTCTTAAAACGCTTAAACATAACGTGGGAGATTATACAAGATAAAATAAACATGAGTTTTTTGTTGTTTGTTTTTACCTTAAACATAAGTTTCCGCCTTCGGTTTTTGAAGAAAACAAACCGCTACTAAGCTGTGCGCCGCTGAAATCGTTCCGTCTTAAAACGTGGATAAGAACGACAGTTCCTACTTGGAGGAATTGTTAATACAAAACCAAACAGGAAACGCAGCGTTTTCCTTCATTTGTTTTAGTTTTCTTTTTAATTATTCTACAATTAAACATTTCGCCTGAGAGGCAGATATCCAACGTTAGCAGCTAATATTAGTTTTACCGAACGTCTGTTGTTGGAGAATTTCTGGATAGTTTATTTAGGTGAATGCCACTGGGACCTCCCTCATCAAGTAAGCCCACACATACGTAAAATACATCTTTATCAGAAAGTGAATCACTGTTTGGTTACATATTAACAGGCATTTATTAGAGGTTAGCACTATGTTGACAGAAGCCTGCTAATATAGTTGAACAGAGTACAGTAAGCCACAGTAAACGTCTGGATTTAGACATGATGGGGGTCTCCCTTCAGTTTCAGCTTTTAACACTTATTCACATTCTGCTATGCTGCGAAAGTTTGTAAGTAACTGTGTTTTGCAGTCAAGCCACATATTCCCATTCAGACTAAATTACATCTTTTCATCCCTTTTAGGAAAATGGAGTTTGCTATCCAGCACACCTGGGACAGCAGCCCTGTGGATCATGATCCAATCAGGATTTCCTTCTCTGATGGGAAATCTGGGATGCGAATGGAGGTGTCTGGAACATTTTTCAACGACCCAGCAGCTCCTCCAGGTGAACCCGGTATCGCTTTCCCTGGACTTTGGAATTATGAAGGTAAAATGCATTTGTTGCCTTTTGCTGTGACATATTATTATCTCCAGGGCTGTTAACTTTTCTCCAAACCTTGGGGTGAGATTTAGAAATAGTTTGGACAAGAAACCCTGTCAGGATTAGATGAGGACAGGTGAAGCTATAGGTTGGAGGTTTTAAGAGGATTTAACTGAAACAAAGCAGCAAACTGTGGAACTTTTCTAGCACAGTAAATGTTACTGAGTAACAAGTGATCTGTTGTTATGTGGAAAATTTTTCTCACAATATATATTATTTCTACATTCTGGTGATTTCTGGAGAATTGAAGTAAAGCAGAATTGGCACCACTAAAATACTTGCATCTTAAATATACTTTAAACTAAGAATTTCACAACGTCATTTATTGATTATTCTCTGCAGTTCAAGTAAATTAAACAATGGGGAACTATTAAGTTATCAATTCATTACTGACACAGATACAGGAACCAGTGCAATCGGAACCAATGCAAACTACACTGTGTATGAATATTTGGTAATAGGCTAAGGATTAAAAAGCTTCATTCATTATGTTATTAGTTTTTCTTACAATTGACAAAACAGCTAACAAATCAGACCTTATAGGAGGTTGTAGATCTTATAAAAACTCACCATGACAGGTGACAGCACTTCTCTGGATGTTTCCGTTTGGAAGGTGTGATGGAAATTACGTTTTTATAGCATATTCAATGCACAAAAATAAACCTGGACTGGATTTTGATCACCATGGTATTTTTATGCATAAATAAGTGGAACGGAGTTGAGTTCCAATGTCTGTCATTTTTTAGTGTGAGAAATTGTTAATATGGAGTGAGAGTGTGTGAAGACACTGAGATGAGTGAGTCTCACTCCCAATGATTGAGAGTTTACAGCCCTGTATCTTTTTGCTGAGAGCTTAAGAAGTTTCCCTGCCCCTTTATGATTTATTTATTTATTTATTTATTTTTTTTTAACAAAGCATTGTTAAAACAACATTACCTAATTAAATAGTGGATGTAAAACATGTTAAACATCCAAAAATTACAAATAAAATAAATGCATAAAAAAATATATAATAATATAAAAATATATAATATTTAAATGTAAACAGTTCTGAATAGCCTCCTCTTCTCTGCTGAAACAAACTTCCCAAAGATACTGGGAAGAGTTTGGGGGGAGGGGAGTACGTGCAGGAGCATATACAATGATTGCAACTTCTGTTTTTGCTTTTATTCAGCCTTTTTTTACTATGTTATTTTTTTATTCATGTGAAGCACTTGGCATTGTTCATGTACTCAATTGTGCTATAGAAATAAACTTACCTTGTAATAAATAGTAAATCAGTAGATTTACTTTTGATTTCCCCCCCAACTCTACACTGTATTCACTAAATAAGTGTTCACAAAACACACTTTAGATGTAATACAAGCTGAATTTAAAGATGTACATCGTTTACAATTATTTTTGAGAGGTAGATGGGCAGGTCTTGTTTATGAGGCATCATTGTAACCCCATTATCATTATTATGGTAATACATTGCAATTAAACTTTGGAATGAGGTTGAGTATAAACAATCTGTTCTAATTGATCTTAAAGAAGTCAGATTTCTAGTTAACGAGGCCCCCATATTTGGCCTCATTAATGTTTCTCAATAAATAGGAAACCATTATAAGTGTAGGTAGATAATGAGCATGTTGAAAGATTAGCAGGGGTGCCTGTTACTCATACTGTATTTTTTTTCTTTTTTTTTATGTATAGCTGCTTGTATTATGCTGTAACCATACCAAAAAATCTAATTATTTGATTGTATTTGTTTTCTGGAACAGGCAAAGCCTTTAATTTCTTTCTGTATATATATTGTCAGTTGTGGAGTCCTTCTTCCTTGACAGCACAAAAGAAAATTACTTGGAGGTGGAGCTTTGTCCGTAAGTCTCAAGCAAATGTTTTATTTTTTTTAATTTTTTTTACTTTTTTAATCCCACATAAACAGTCACAGAACAGTTTTCCGTTTTTTTTTTTACTTTAGACACGGACAACATGTAATACTACTACTGTCAGGAGTTGGTCAGGCGTTTTATGTAAGTGAAACTTGTTTCTTTTTTCTATTTATTCCAATTTTTCTCTGCATCTTGGGTTATAAATTATTATAATTTTCTTCTAAACCAGCAACAACTGCCAGTTGAATTCACTACCACAATATCTGGGGACAGATGGACTGGCGAGGCTGTTATCCCCTGGACATACTTCCCTCCCAATGTCAACAAGATGAACTCGTATGCTATTCATGGCTCAGGAGAGGCACGTACATATGAGGCTCTCTACCCCATCCCTAAAGCCGACATCATGGAAGGCCAACAGCCAAATTTGTAAGTAGGCTGTCTAATGAATTTGGTTTCCTACAAATCTTTGCATATCGAGTAAAAAGTTTATTTGCAGTCATCATGGGATTCTCATAGTATCTTAAGATTTTCAGTGATTGACTTATTCTTTTTTTTTAAGGTGAAGTAGTCATACAACTACTGAAAACTATATAAATAATAAAACTATCTTTAGTAATGTTTTATATATACTTTTATATAAAATGCTCTCCTTAATCTTGGATTAAATGGCTCTTAGGAAGTTACAACTCAACAACTCCCAATAGTTTTGCAGATTTGTTAAAGTTATTGTTTAATTTCATGGTATGGATCTAACTTTGAATTGTGTTTAATATTGCTGCTGAAACACTTAACTATAAGGTTAAACAAAATGTGAAAATTGGGAAGTTTGTAGGTCAGTATGACAACCCTGCAGCAAAATTATAAATGAATGTTTGACACCTATTGCATTTAGAAAAGTTTAGTCATGATTGTGGCAACACTTTTAGATCTTTGTCCTTTTTTGACCATAAAATCAATTTTCTAGAAGATACTTTGGATGTGCAATTAGCTTCGCATCCTAAAGGTGTTGATTTTTAAAATTAATCTTTGTCCCTAAAATTCCAGTCTGAGCTTTAAAAAAAGGACACTGGTGTTCCCCAATGTTTCAAATAATGATAGGCAGTTGATGGAGTATCTCTATACATGTTAACTGTCTTCATATTATCATTTAGTAACCACTTGAAACATAAGTAACGATCTCTATTACAAATTAAAACCTGGATAGAACACACCAACTTTTTGTGGCCTCTACTAGGCCTAACCTCAACACAAATACCTGTAGAATTTTTGTGGACTGTAAAACCCATCAGGAAACCAAGCAATTGAATTAAATAACAGAATCCGCTAGAACATTGATATATTATTCAATCAACTAAAACCAGAAGCTTGAGGAATACTACAAAATATGACCACAGGGCATCCAAAGAAAGAATATTTGACTACATTTATATGTACAGCATGTATAATGTGGATTAAAAATACCAGGAAACTAATCTGCACACACATTTCTTCAAAAATAATGTATTCAATGTGTATGTTATTGAATATTTCCAGCTTGTAAAAGTATTATTTAAAAAAAATCATCCAAACTCCAAAACTAGTATGACAAACAAACTCATAACATAAATCATTTTAAACATTGCTACATCAGCAATCCTGGGGTTGCTAGAATCATAATTCACACAGAAAGTTTGCTGTGTAGACAGATTGTATGTCCTACCGGTAATCTTAATCTTGGGGATTTTTTGTTTCACACTTAGATTGCTTGATAAGAGGGGCAAGTCCATATGTCATATGTGTGGCTGCTCTTGATCTGAACAATATAACTAAATGAGGTACAACAGCCTCTATACATGCGTTCAGTTTACTGCACCATAAAGTTAACATAGAAAGAATTTCGATAATGTCCTCAATGTTATCTTCTACTTTTCAGACTTTGGATTCTATTTTACATAGTAAGTGATTGTAGAACGGTTGTGTAACTGTTTCCTAGCAGCTGTTAATTTTCTAAATATCTACTAAATCAATAATGATACAACAGATAAGAAATGACTTCCAAACTTTTGAGTTTATGTGGGTTTTTAACTTTCTTTTTATCTCTGTCTCTCAGCCATCGCCTGGAGTATTTCCAGAATTTCCGCCTGCAGAGTATTATGGGAGAGGACTGGATCCAGCCAGAATCGGATCTGTGGAAGGGAAAAGCCTGAGGTTTTGCTAAAAAATGCTACCTTTCTCTGTTTTTCTTTTTGCAGAAACAAATTATTAATCAAATCATTGATTTGACAAAATGGCAAAAAAATTTCTAACAGATCAAAAGGCACATTTTCTTTAATAATATAAAACGGTTAATGATTCCTCTGCTGCTGTTTAGAGAACATGTGCCAACAATCATACACAGAGATTATGTATGTGTTAACCTAAGGATGGGTTTTGCTTCATCAGTTCTCATGTATAAATATGTTGTAATTTTTTTATAAGAAAAAATAAATAAATTCCTCTTTATTCTAATAAATGTGCAGTATCTTTTTGTATTTGTTTTTTCTTCTGTATGTTTCAAGTTAAATGAAATACAAACTATGAACATTTTACCTGGATAAAGAAATATAAACACTCCTAGCTATTAATTTTACTTTAATGCCTGACTTCTGCTGCACCCACTAAAATATTATAATTACTTAATTGATGATTGAAGATAAAGAAAAAAATAGGTTGAGCTCTGACTCGGTGTTTGCCCCTAATCCTTTTGCCACTAATCCAAGTTTATTATTTTCTGGAGAACCCTTAAGGTGACCACTACAGTTCTTCTACATTTAAAAACACAAGGACATTTGTTGGCATATATTCATCCGTCTTTGATACAATGGGGACATGGACACCTAATGTTAGCAAGGAAGGCCATTATAATGAGCTGAGTGGATGTTGAACCTCCTATGGCTTTATGGAAATCATTGATATATCAAATGACTAATTACACCTGAGCATCAGTGAGATAAGTCTCCATTTTAAAAAGGAAAAAGCCACTTGAGAAACTTGAGTGGAAAGCAAAACAGACTCTAATGGACAATCATTGAGGAGATAATCATTCCGAGCTGGACTATCGTCAATTATTAAGTGCATGTCAGAAAAATTCTGTCAAGCACTGTTTTGTATTGTTTGTTTATTTGGGTAAAAGAAAACAACTATATAAAAAAGATAAATACCATCCTAGAATTAAAAATCTTAATATTTGTGCCACAGTTTGTAGCTCTGTTGCCTTACAGCAAGAAAGTTTTCAGGTTCAATTCTGAGTCCCCGGGTCTTTCTGTATGGAGTATGCATGTTCTCCCCTTGCATGCTTGGGTTCTCTACAGGTACTCCGGCCTCCTTCCAGAGTCCAAAAACATGACTGGTAGGTTAATTTGCGTCTTTAAATTATCACGAGAAGTGAATGTGTGAGTATATCCTTGTGTGTCTCTCGTTGCCCAGTGATGGACTGGCGACCTGTCCAGGGTGTACCCCCGCCTCTCGCCCATAAATTACTGGAGATAGGCTGCAGCTTCATTGATGAATGGGTAGAATTATACATTTTATGTGGTCTGCTTAGCATCAATGGTAAACCAGCAAAATTTAATTGTAATACCAACTAATATGTAATTAATACTAAAGGCGGGAGTGGTGGCCTAATGGTTAGAGCATTGCCCTTGGGTGCTGGAGGTTCTGAGTTCAGGTCCCACTCCCACGGCCTGCCACTCTGAGTCCCTAAAGATAAACCTTAAACCCACACTGCTCTCCGGGCACCACACAATGGCAGCCCACTGTTCCCCAAGGGGATGGGTTAAATGCTGATGCGAATTTCTCCACTGTAAGATGATGTATACGGTCCAATTTATGTTTTCAATTATCCTAACCTTCCCCTACATAATTTTTAAGATAGCCATTACTTCTTTTAAATGTTTCACACCTATGATGTTTTATCTTTTAACAACTATCACTCCAAATTTTTACTTTTTTTTATAATAAATGTTTTCCAATAGAAAAATAAAATTCTTTACAAATCAGGTCCAAATATCACAAGGTTAATTAAAGACTTTCCAATTGTTGAAGTTATGGTCTCAGAGATTCCCTGTGATTGAGCAGGCATGGCTTTTATCATTCCCACCGCTCCTCATAGTCATCCAACTTGTATTAGTGGTCCAATCATAGCTTTGGATGATTAAGTATACATAAAGCAATGTTAGACTTTTCCATGATCTGATTTAAAATTTCACATATATTCAAATAAGGTTTTAGAGACAAGTTCCCTGTCTGTTTTTATGAGGCCATTATAGCAATAGTGTTATTGTTATTTTGGTAATACATAGTAATGAAACCTTATAATGAGCTCAAGGAAAAGCAATCTGTTCTAAATGACTGTAAATAAGCATAACATCTGGTTACTGAGCCTTCTTTAAATTGGCCATAAATAAGAGGGAATGAATAGTTACATAAATGCAGTAGAGAAAAGAAAATGGTATACAATCTGGGCTGAACTATAAAAACAATTGAACTGTAAACATTAAGCTCTTATGTGTCATTTCTGTCAGTCATTTTCTTGATTTAAGCAAACCCCAATTTTTTTTAGTATTTACAATATAAAAGACACATTTAGATCAATCAGTAAAATAAACTATAATAGAAATGTTATTTTTATAAAAAGGAAAAACACTATAGACAGCCAATATTTGGTTGGAGCTCATTTTGCATGAATAAGTGCATTGATGCAGTGTGTCATGGGCTGGATTAGGCTTTTCTGGAGCATTAAAGAGGCCCAGGTTTCTTTATTAGCGGCCCTAACTTTATCTATTTTGTCGTGTAAGCTGTCAGCTATCTTCGTCTGAAAAAAACAATATACAGATTTTTTTAAGGTTGTCAACTTTATGGAGGATTGTGGTTTTCTATTCATTCTGTGGACCAGTAGAAAAGTCCTGTTTAGCTAAAACCATGTTTCTGAATTTGAAAAAGCCACCACACACAATTGTTATGGTTGATCTTTCTTCCACCCTTTTTCATTGCAATTCACATCAAAATGCTTTTATATCATTCTTTGAAAATACAGCTTTATTATAAATAACATTTTCTGGATAACCCCAAATAGTTGAGGGTGGAAATGTAATGACTTCAACAGCAAAAAATATATTATAAGCAAAATGGGAAAAAGAAAAAGGGGAAGAAATACGAAAAAAGAAATGCCTTTGGAATGGTTCCTCTATTTAAAAAAAAAGAAAATGTTTCCCTAGAAGAAACGTTAGGCAGCTTGTATACTATCAGCATAACTAAACCAGTTAACTCTGTTGCAGAAATGAGGGCCTTTGAAGTGCCACTGCAGCAGCAACTGGTGATCTGCTCGAGTATAAGATCCCTAATGATACATGGAAAGTGTAGCCTCTTTAAAGAGGTTGTAAGTACTGATCAGTAATTTCAAAAAGAGAAGTAGTCAATTTGTTTGGCAAGAAACGCAGGTTCTCTTAAAGAGGTCATCTTATTATGTAGATCAGTAGCAGCAGTGGCTGCTGTGAAATAATTTATAAATGTTTCATTTCTTTGTAGCACTATAAAGACACTTTGCAAGAAAGAAAACATACTCAGTGGTATCATTGCTGATTAAATCTTTGGTTTTCCTTTTTACAGCTGCTGTAAAAATGTTCGAGTGACCGTTTACTGTGTACATTTCTTGCAAAAATAGTATTAAGGGTTTCATTGCAATTATAAAAATACAAGTCAATTTCAAACCTCTCCTGAATTAGCATATTTCTTCAAAAGTTATTTTGTATTTTTTTATTTTTTGGATAGCACTTCGGTGCAAATATATTCCCCACTGGTCTTTTGGCCACTGCCAAAATTTCTTTCTGCATATAGAGGACTGGATCCAGCCGGAATCTCTGAATCTGATCTATGGAAGGAATAGGCCTGAGCTAAAAAAAAAAAAAAAAGATCAAAACATAAAAAGACAAATTAAATTAGCAATGGATTAATCATTAAGTATAAATACTGTAAAACATGCTTTTAGCTGACAGAGAAACACACAACAACAATTATATCAAAATTGTAAGAAAATATATAAACATTTTTGCATTTAAGATAAAAAAATGTTTTTGTCTGTCTATCTGCTCTATCCAGAACTCCAAGAGCAAAAGATCAACTGTGGAAAATGCTTTCTGGTACCAAACTAACAGCAATCACTTTTTATTGCTTAATGGTGTTAAGCAAAATGACAGAAACTGTTATGAGCTTGTCTGACTGGGTTATACTTCACACACATCTGTGCTTGCACCCAGACACACACGTCATAATATTTGACATCAGCATAAATTGGAAGAGAACACTGTGACCTACAGATCTTTATTGCTTTGGTGACGAGGACCTCCTCTCTGTAACTTGAGTGCCTAGAAACACAACAAAACTTAATAACATAAATAACAAAAATGTTATATAGAGTCACTTTTTACACCCTGTGGTTGACTTATTATATAAAAAAAACAATGTACTAATTGAGGATCTTTTTCTGAGTGTAATGTTGTAATAAATGGTCGTCTAGCTTTCCCAAACAATTAACTCACCTGATCTTTTAGTTGATTTTACAGTTACAATATTGAGTACTTTTTTATGCAGCCTGATATACACACAGACCATGATATCTTGTTCTGTGTGAAATTGTATGAGTCTATGAAAAAACTACATTTCAATATGATCAATGGCATTTCAATTCCAAAATCAAATTTTTTTTTTCTATACATTTAAACTGTATAAACAGGATCAATGGGATACTATTTTAATTTACCTGCATTTTTACCTCAGCCAAAGATGTTATGTTTTTAGGAGCTTTGTGCGTTTGTCTGCCTGTCTGAGTACAGAAAAATCTAAAAATCATGAATTTTAATTACATTTTTATCAGAGGTGTCCCTCGTCCCAAGGAACAATCTAATAACATTTTAGTGATTAACTAGATCTTAATCTGGAGACAGGATTCTTTTTAAAGTTTCTCTAACATTGTGGGAAAGGGATATTTTCAACAAGCAGCTCTCCACTAAACCAGAGGATGGCAGCATTGACTATTGACAGCCTCAGCATTGGACTCAAAAAGTCTGGAGGTATTTTACTGAATACACAAACACAAGGGAACGTTGTTGGTTTGTTAGCAGGATCAATTAAAAAACTTCTGAACATATTTAAACGATGAATTTTTAACAGAGTTGAGCCTTATGGCAAGGAAGAATTCATTTAAACTTGGTAATGATCCAGATCATGAGCGAGTTTTAGCTGTATGTGTAAGTCACAATTTGGGGCAAAATTTGCTGCTTGGTGGAGGGCTATTCTAGTCTTTTTTTATTTATTATAATATGAGGTTTATTTTTAGTTCTGTGATATTCCCAGGTAAAAGAGTAGGTAACTGAAACCCTGCCTTTGGGCATGAAATCAACTAACTCAAATGTACACTTCTGTAGCGAGTCATCCAGTCCTCAGGTCCCTTGGCTCCAACAGCTTCATGCGTC